GGAGGAGGAGGAGGAGGAGGAGGAGGAGGAACAGCGGTAGGTAGTCTTGAGAATGGATAGTGTAGTAGGTCTGCAGTTGGTGATGGACAAACGACTTGGGAACCCTTCATAGGAGCGGGGGGTTCGCAGATTTGCCCTCTCCTTCCTCAGAATCGCCCACAGAGTGTCTTTACTCGGGCAGAGAAGGGAAGGTGTCTGCTGGCCCATGTCATGGTTGCTCTCCAGTGGGCTCCCTCTGCTGCAGGAGCCAGCAGCTGGGCTGAGGGCAGACCTCCTGCGCACCCCTGTCCCAGCCTGCTCTCCTCGCCCTGTCCCAGATGCTTTGGGTGCTGAGAAGCAAGTCTGTGATAAAGCCAGCTTGCCTCAAACATGCTCCCCGGGACCTGGGCCAGGGACAGCCTCTTACGTGGGAGGCTCCTATGCTCTCCTCCTCCTTGGTTCTTAAAAAAAAAAAAAAAAAAAAGTTTCCCCTTTCTGAACATGTCTCTAACTGGATCCAGAGCTGTCACTAAAAATACTTTAACAATAGGAAAGTGTGTCGGTCTTCCGGCTGAGGCTCCTTATCGGGGAGGCTTTATTTTGGAATTTGACTTTGTGCTGAGGAGGTTGGGTGGGGGGCCCTTGGGCAGGGCTCAGGGAGTTTTGTGGGTGTGGGGGACGATCCTTGGTGGGGACTGGCCAGTAGAGATGCCCCCAGAGAGCTTGTAAGAAGGGAGAGATGAGGTAGCCTTTCTACCAGGGCTTTGAGCTGCCTATGTGTGCCTACTCAGCTTGCCAGTTCTCCTTGAGGTCTAACCTTATTCCTGCATACCGAGTATTAATTTCTTCTGCCTGGGAGGCTTGCAGGTGGCATCTGCAGCCGTGCTGCCTTCCTTCAGTAATCGGCTTTCATCAGGCACTTGTTGCAGAGAGATCTTGGAATTTTTCTGGCGCTGGGGAGAGCTTACACTACTCCTGTTTTCTCTCACTCAGCCCCTCAGAGGGGGTGGTCTCAGTCAGGGAGAGCATAACCCTGGTTCCTGCTCTGTCCCTGGCATCCAGGTCCAAGTGCTCTTATCTGGTGTTTTGAGCTCCCTCCCCCTCAGGGAGCCGAGTTCCATACCATGGAATATACAGCGTCCACACATGGGGAAATGGTTTCCGAGGGGCTGCGGGATTTGGCCAGGTTTCACTACAACATCTGCTGGCCTTGGGTAGCTCTTCCAGGGATTGCCTGCATTGAGGGATCAGGTGCAAGGTTCATGGGCTAACCTGGAAACTCAAACTGGGATCCTGTTTTTTTTGGGGGAGTGGGCGGGGGGGGAGGTAAAAATATATGCTCACTTCAGGGTCTTGGAGAAAGCCCAGGATCTTAGAGGCAGAGACCTGGTATTGACCCTTCACCTGGGTTCCCAGAGCTGCCCTGGGAAGCCCCTGAGGCAGAAGGTAGCACTGCCCACTGGCAGGGCAGGAAGCGGAAGTGGCTTGGTCGGGGCTGGTGGCAGGCTCAGGGGCTGAGCAGGGGAAGGTCCCAGGGCTGCAGTGGAAGGAAACAAGGCTCACCCCCTCGACCTCCGCCATGGGAAGAGCATGGAGGCTGTGGGTGGGGCCGGTGCCTTCCACAGGGTGGGGCCCAGCCCAAGGGGCATCGTGGGAAAGGGCTGCAAGAGTCCACTTCCCCTATTCCCTGTTTACCCAACTTGGCCGAGGAAAGACAGCAGACATTGCTAGCTCAGGCTGCCTACTGTTGAAGAACAGAGGCCATAGAGGAAAAGGCCCCCTGCAGGAGGGGGTACCTTGCTGAACACAACCCTCACACGTGGGTGGGAATGGGTCTGAGCACGACTCTGTAATTCCCCATCAGGCTGCATGCTCCCCCAACACCATTTTCTGGAGCTTGAGTCTCAATGTATGTACCAGGTCACCCCTGAACTTGCGGTGATCCTCCTGTCTCAGTGCTAGGATTACAGAGGTGTGCCTCCAAGCTTTTGTGATGTCATCATGTTGCAACTCCTTCTAACTCCTGTGTTCTGAGTAACCGAGGGAACAGATGTGTGATGAGAAACAGCTACTGTGATTACAGTCGAACGAACTTGAGTTCAGTTGAGTCCAGCGTGTCTGCAGCCACGTGAGGGAGCGGTTTTCAACCTTCCTAATGCTGCGACCCTTAAACACCATTCCTCCTGTGGGGACCCCCAACCATAATTTAGTCTTGCTGCTACCTCATAGCTGTAGTTTTGCTACTGTTACGTTACTGTAATATCCACGTTTTCCGATGCCTTTAGGCGACACCCGGGGGGGGGGGGGCTGTGATGCACAGGAGAACTGCTGTCATAGGCTAAAAGCTTGTGAATGTGGTCTCTAGAGCCAACACGCTCGGGCACAGTCATCCCAAGGAGGACCTGGCTGCTTGCAGCCCCCTGAGACACCTGGAGCAGACAGGCCAGGCCCGAGTCTGTGGCGCATTCACAGGACCTGGGGTCAAGGCAGCATGAACCCTGTGCAGCAAGAGTTGTGGGGTCTGTCTGGAAAGCGCAGGCTGTAATTTTAGGCTCAGGGCAGGCAGCAAGAGGGCAGAGTGGATGGCTTCAAGTGTGCTTTCTTGCCCGAAAGTCTTGGTTAGTGTCTTGCTTCTGGACTTGACTCATACTGGTGAGAAAAGGCAAAGGCTTATTGGGAGTCAGGTGTCCCGGGAGTGAATGAAGCTGGTGATGATTCCAGGGGAGGAGGAGAGGAGGCCTGTGGCCCAGATGGTGCTGCAGACATGCCCGGCACTGGGAATTACCTGAAGGACCCCACCTAGGTGCGTTGGAAGCTTGGGCCCCGGTGTGAGGCCTGACTGGACAGCACTGGCCTGTCCCTGCACTGTCGCCTCTCCCTGATGAGCAGGAGCCTGGGAGGCCCCAAGTCCTTTATACCTCTGGCTTCTGTGCCAGGCTCTGTGCTCTATCACGGTCCTCGCACAGGCGGCCGCAGCTGTGTCCCCATAGAAGGACCGTCCTTGTTGGCAGCACGTGGCGAGTTCGGGCCCTCCAGCCTCACACTCAGAGGCGGCTGCAGTGCCGGTTCCTCTTACAGCTTTGCGGTAGCAAGATGGCAGCCTCCAGAGAGGCTCGAGGAGGTTGGCCTGGGTGAGCCTGCAGGCTTGGGGTATCCAGTGAGGCCCCTGCTGCTGGCACATCAGCTTTGCATGCTGATCTCTGCCACTTGTGCAAAGGCAAAATGGTGTGGAGGGAGGAGGATGCTAGAAGGGAAGACGGGGCTAGGGCTTCAGCATGCCCGAAGAAGACAGGACAGTGTGCCTGCCTTTGCCAGAGGGGAGGACCCTCCCAGCGTGTTTGCTGGCATATCAGGAGTCATCTGGGAAGTCGGGGGAAGCGTCCAGGGCTGGGTGGAGAGGTCAGATGGGGAGCCGGATGTGATACAGCCAGGGACAAGACTATATGGGTGATGTGGGGAAAAGATCCAGGATGGCTCCAGTTGGCATCTGTCCACACTCCATCCTTCCTCTGGTGGCCTTTGAGTTCTTGGGAAGGCGGCGTGGGACAGTCCAGAGCTGTGGACTCAGTCACAGCAAGACTGCATGCCGGCTTGGGGTCTCGGGTAACTTCTGCAGATGACTGAATGGCAGCAGCAATGTGCGAAAGCTGCTCCGTAGGCAGGGACGGCGGAGATCTGGAAAGAGGCGGCAGGCTGGCATGGACTCCCGGGTGCCAGTGCCAGGCAAGCGCTCTTCTGCTGAGCTGTGCCCTCAGCCCAGTTTAAAAACGGGTACGGCCAGAGGGGAGGGCGTTGGATGTCCCCAGGTAGTCTGCCGCACTGGTGGGCTGGCATCGGTTGTGGCTGGCAGCAGAAATGGCGTGGGGGCAGAGATATTTCAAAGAGAATTCCGGGTGGGAAAGTCGAGAGACTGAGATGCTCGTAATCCCTTCCTCTCTCTTACCGTGCTGGACTGGGATGGGGCGTGTGTGGGGTGAGACAAGCCTAGAAAGGCTCCAGGAGACTGCAGCCTGCCCTGCACTCGGGACAAAGCTGCTGTCTCCGCCGCTGCAGGAGGGGGTAGGAAGGCAAGCGTCCTTTCAGGGACTGGGGCAGGGAGCTGGCGGGAAAGAGCTCCTTGCACACGGAGGGCATGCCCGTGGGTTCCAGACCCCGGAGTGCCACCACCTAGCTGAGTGACAACGAGCCATTGCCTTTATGTCCCCGAGTCTATTTATAAAATGGGGAAGGGTTGGCACGAATTTGGAAAGATTTCTCAGGCTCCACCCGGTTCTGAAATTCGGTAATTTCTCAACTAGGGGCGCAGCCATCCTGTGAGGGGCTAGAAAGGCCACTGGGGAGAAGCCAGCATCGTGCAGAGCAGAGCCCTTCGCCCATTGGCAGGGGCGAAGCTGAGGTTCTAGCTACCGTTACACCACCTCGTCAAGGCTGAGGCAGAGGCCCAGCCCACCTCCCATCTCCTGGGTGTGTCCCAGAGTTGCTTGCCTAAGCCCTGACCTGCTCTGGCTGCCCAGGGTGGCGGAGAGGGACGCCCTAGGTGTCCAGGACAGGCCGGGGTAGTGGTGGGCAGGAGGGAGAAGGCGCGGTTGGCACCGGGAGCAGCTGGAGGGGAGGAGATGCTGTTCCGGGGATGCCCTGGGGGCGCGGCTTCACAACACCCCCTCCTCCCGGGCGGTTATTTCGGACCCCGGGACCCGATCCCGGGTCTGGCTTGGGGAGCTTAGTGGGTCTGGAAGCTGCTATATTTAGTCGGCGCAGCGGGCGAGAGGAAAACTATTTATAGATCAAACAATCCGCGCTCCCTGCGTCAATGGAACCCCGCGTGCGTCACGCGCGCAGACATTCCAGGCCCCCCCTCCTCGCCCCGCCCCCTCGGGCTCCCCGTCCCCGCGCCGCCTCCCGCCGGAACCGCGCCGCCCCCCGCGCCCTTGTATGGCCAAAGCTCGCCGGGCCGCGTGCGTCAGTGGCGCCCCCGCCCCTCTCCTTGCGTCACGGAGCGCTTAAGAGGAGGGTCGGGCTCGCCAGGGGAGCCCCAGTGCAGGAGGCTGCGAAAGTTGGGGGAGTGTGCGAGGAGGACCGCGGAGCGCGCGCCGGACCAGCCTGTGACTGGGTCGGGGCGCCAGTCCCGGCCAGGGGGAGCGGAGCCGGCCGGGTAGGTACCCCGCGGGGAGCATGCTTGTGTTTGTGGGGGTAGTGCGTGGCTGATACGGGAGTACGCGCGGGCGGAAGGGATGTCTTTGGGTCGGCTTTTGAAGAAGGTGTGTAGGGCGCAGTTTTGGTGTTAAAGGTAGCTCTTGGGGGTCTGGAGGTTTGGGGGTGGGCAGGGAAGAAGGCTCTGCAGGGTGGTCGGTGCCGCTCGGCCGTGGGAGGCTTGGCCAGCAGTTTTGTTTTGTGCCTAGGGCTCTGGGTTTGGGTGCTGATGGCGGGCTGGAGTTGCCTGAGCGTGGTGCGGGGAGCGGGTTCACGGCAGGGCTGCAGCGCTGTGGGGGCCAGCCAGCTCCGAGGGGGATTCAGTGTCCACGGGCCCCCTTCCCAGGCCGCCGCCCCTCTCCGCAGGTGTTCGCTTAACTTCGCAGGCTGGGCCCAGGCTTTTCCATTCCCTCGCTTTTCTGTGTAAGCGGTGCAGGAAGACCTGGACCTTGCCGAAGGAACCTGCTAGCTAGATCGGCGCGGTGATTGCTGCGTTTGGACTAAGCTGTCAGGGCATGTGTAGCGTAGGAAGGACTGTTTGAGCTGTACCCTTGTGTGCTCTGGAAGAGGAAGAGGGGCACTTGGAGTCTTAGCGGGGTACTGACCAGGGCAGCCTCTGTCAATCAGGCAGGCTTGCAGATCACCCCAATGGTCCCTGTTGAATCCGTGAGGGAGGGTGCAGCCTGAGGCTGGTTCACCTAACAGGTGCAAGCCACCCTGTGGCCCGGACCTGCCCCAAGCCGGATTCTCCCACTCCCTCCTTCCCTCCTTCAGCCCCGCCTCCTCTTCCTCCTCCTCCCTCCTGGATCCGGAGCTCGCCCTCCCCTTCCCCCCCCCCCCCCCCCCCCCCAGGAGGCTAGGTGCCGGTCTGCAGCCTGGGATGCCGGCTGTCTGCCTGAAACGGGGTAGATTGGATCCGGATGTAGAATGTCCAAGTGGAGAAACAGGATTTGAATGAAGCTGGAACAAATGCTCCTCCTGACTGGCTGCCGCCCCTTTTCCTCCACCCCCAACCCATCCTTGCCCAGGCTCCTTGCAGGCAGAGGCAGAAGTGGCCATGTTTATTCCTCACAGGTGCCCTGTGCCTGAGGGACGTGCCACAGGGCAGGCAGGGCGGGAACTTGGGGCACTGTTGTCTGGGAAGTTGTGTGTGTGTCCAGGGGTGGTGATGTCCTGTCCAGGCACTCGGGGCTCAGGTGGGGTGGGAGAAATGCTAGGACTAAGGGGCTTCAAGGGCCAGCAGGTGGTGACAGCCTTTGCCCCAACTACCCCACCCTCTGCTCCGGCTTGAGTTCCTGTGGGGTTTGTCTTCCCCAGTAGAAAGGTTGGAACCTCACAGACCTCAGGCTAGGAGGTGGGGAGAGGCACCGGTCCTCCAGCTTTTCCTCTACAGGACTTTTGAGCACATGTGACCCCAAGGGCCTCCCAGGAACGCTCTCTGATCATTCAGGTGCTTCAGGTTCGGGTGTGTGTGTGTGACCTTTGCTGAGCCCCTGGATGCTCGGAAACAGACGTCTGCCTTAGCAGAGGGCCACAGGCGGGGACAGGTTGTCTCTGTGCACCCACCAGTAGGCTCCTCTGCTCTGCCGAGTTAGCTTGTGTCTGCTGCTGTTAGGAAAATGGCCGGGTGAGCGGAGGAGTTCCCCTTGGGAGCTGTTTTTTCTCCTGCCGTCCAGGGGCTGCTCTCTGGGTCTTCCTGCTCAGTTCCTCACCTCCCTTCAATATGTGGGATTTAATTATGTGTATGTGTGTGCAGGTGTGTGCTACAAGGCTAGAGGCATCAGATGTCCTTGAGGCTGCAGTCCCAGATGGTTGTGAGCCACCTGGTGTAGGTGCTGGGAACTGGACTCAGGTCCTCGGGACCCCTGAGCCATCTCTCCAGCCCTGTACTTGACGTTTGAAGATCTGTAGCCCGCGTTACTCAAGCCTTTGCGGAGCCGGGGTCAGTGAGGAGACTTGGTTCCGCCAGCTCCCGGAAACACCCAGAGCGTGCAGAGTGGGTGCGGGCTGCAGATGGTAGCACGCCGGTGTTGGTGGGCACAGCCCCCTGGGCTGAGGTGGGGCTGGAGTCTGCTGCTGCTCTCTCCCCGGCTGGCCGGCCGTTTCCAGAAGGTCTGTCTCCACAGGCCCTGTGGGGTGGGGGTGGGGTGAGGAAGGGGTGTGCAGAGCCTGGGAGTGTATTCCCAGGAAGTGCCTGGTTGAAAACTCGGCAGACCTGCTCCTGGGGGCTGGGCTGAAGCCCTGTGGGTTGCCTCTCCCAGCCCCCACCCATGAACAAGGAGGCCGGGGGTTGGAGGAACACAGCTTCCCCCTGTTCCTGCGGGGAAAGGCTGGCTAGATGCCTTCCCTAGTTCCCAGGCCACTGGGGTGTGGCTGGCCTGGCTGAGCCTCTTGGACTGGGTCTCTGCCCAGGAGCTTTGTGGCTCACAGACTGAGATAGTGCTTGGGCTGTGGGGTTAGGGCCCCCGGCTTCTGTGGTCCCGACACCCCGTCTCGCTTCTAGGCCTGCCACCTGGCTGCCCTGGGTCTACCAAGCTTCTTCCTTCCCCTGCTGACTCCTCCCCTTCCCTCCCTTGGTCTCCTCCCTCTCCAGAGATGCCCTGTATCCAAGCCCAATATGGAACACCAGCCACAAGCCCGGGCCCGCGCGACCACCTGACAGGTGACCCCCTGCTCCTCGACTTCAGCAAGCCTACCATGGACCTGGCCAGCCCCGAGGCGGCGCCCACCACGCTACCCAGCTTCAGCACCTTCATGGACGGCTACACCGGAGAGTTTGACACCTTCCTGTACCAGCTGCCGGGGGCAGCCCAGCCGTGCTCCTCAGCCTCTTCTTCCTCAGTCTCCTCTGCGTCTTCTTCCTCATCCTCGGCCACCTCCCCTGCCTCTGCTTCCTTCAAGTTTGAGGACTTCCAGGTGTACGGCTGTTACCCCGGCACCCTGAGTGCCCCGCTGGACGAGACCCTGAGCTCCAGCGGCTCTGACTATTATGGCAGCCCCTGCTCAGCCCCCTCGCCATCCACGCCCAGCTTCCAGCCACCCCAGCTCTCTCCCTGGGATGGCTCGTTTGGCCACTTCTCCCCCAGCCAGACTTACGAAGGCCTTCGGGCATGGACAGAGCAGTTGCCCAAGGCTTCTGGGCCTCCACCACCTCCAGCCTTCTTCTCCTTCAGTCCCCCGCCTGGCCCCAGTCCCAGCCTGGCCCAGAGTTCCCTGAAGTTGTTCGCCCCACCGGCCGCCCACCAGCTTGGTGAGGGGGAGAGCTATTCCATGCCTTTCCCAGGCTTGGCACCCACCTCTCCAAACCATGACACTTGTGGCGGTCTGGATGTGCCTCTGACATCCACCAAGGCCCGGAGCGGGGCTTCAGGTGCCAGTGAGGGCCGCTGCGCCGTGTGTGGGGACAGCGCTTCGTGCCAGCACTACGGGGTCCGCACCTGTGAGGGCTGCAAGGGCTTCTTCAAGGTAGTTCGCTGTTTTGGGGTGGCTGCATCCTGTTGGGAGTGGAGTGTGTCACCACAGTGGGATCTGAAGTAACCATTCTAGGGTTTTCTTCCCAGCTAGTTCTGTCCTGCAGGAAGGGCACACGGGTTTACCATCTTAGGGGCTTGGACCAGGGTACACAGATCTCTAGGGCCACAAAACGGCCTGGGGGCTCGAGGAGGGCAGAAGGTGCAGCCCGCAGCGGAGTTCAGGAACAGAGTCTAGTGGGCAGCCTCTGGTTCTCCCCGTCCTGGTGGCAAGGGGGCCACAGACACTTGTGTTCCTGGCACTGGATGAAAGGACCCAGGCAGAGGGTTCGGTGCTTGCAGGCTGGGGGTGGACTTGGGAACAGGCTGTGTGTTTGTCGCAGGGCTGGGTGCCTGCTTGGCTTCCCATCCCACCCTTCGCGCTGTCCTCCCTGCCCCAGGAAAGGCCGGTGGATGCCTGCAGACCTGCTCAGAACAGGTGTCTGGGCAGCCTTGCGCGCTCCTAGGCCCTGTCTTGGGTTCTGGGATCTTCTGAGGCAGAATCCTCTCCCAATGTCTCCCAGATTCCCTCCCCACCTCCCCCTCGCCCTCGATCCCTTCCTCCCCTACACCCAAATGTTAGGAAAATAGCTATGAACAGAGAGTGCTTTTGTCTGTGCCGGCAGCAGGATCTGGATGGTCCCCTCCCCTGGGCGCTCCCCCCCCAGGCCCCATGCTCTGACAGCCTGTTCCGTGTTGCCCCCCCTCCAGCGCACAGTACAGAAAAGTGCCAAGTACATCTGCCTGGCAAACAAGGACTGCCCTGTGGACAAGAGGCGGCGGAACCGCTGCCAGTTCTGCCGCTTCCAGAAGTGCCTGGCTGTGGGCATGGTGAAGGAAGGTGGGTGGCAGGCCCTGGGGCATCGCTGCCCTGCTGGGGAGGGGTAGGCAGGGAGGGCCACATAGGGTACCGTGGTCTGGGGCCCCCACCCCGACTTCTCAGAAGTGTGTACAGTGTGGCCTGAAGACCCCCTCCTCCAGCTTGTTCGCTTCCTTCCTCAATACCTCCCATTCCTCTGCAGTGGTCCGGACGGACAGCCTCAAGGGGCGGCGGGGCCGGCTACCTTCCAAACCCAAGCAGTCCCCAGATGCCTCCCCTACCAGCCTGCTCACCTCCCTCATCCGGGCACACCTGGACTCCGGGCCCAGCACTGCCAAGTTGGACTATTCCAAGGTGAGGCCCTGCCTGCTCACCCGACCCACCCCTCGGAGTATACGCAGCGCCTCCGCATGCGAGGAAAGGAGGGTGCTCTTCCAGGCCCACATCAGAAAGCAAGGGGCGCCTCTGCGCTGTCTAGTTGGGGAAATGCCCTGGGTGGCCATGGGGCGGGGGCCAGCCACGAACAGCTGCCATGGCCCTGGGTTTTCCTGCGGGAACTGGCAGGCACACGGCCCAGTCTGGGGCTCGCCTGCACAGTGCAGCCGCTGCAGGCACGCTTGTGATGCTCAGCCCTTGGTGCTCCTTTCAGTTCCAGGAACTGGCGCTGCCCCGCTTTGGGAAGGAGGATGCTGGCGACGTGCAGCAGTTTTATGACTTGCTTTCTGGCTCCCTGGACGTTATCCGGAAGTGGGCAGAGAAGATCCCGGGCTTTGCGGAGCTCTCCCCGGGAGACCAGGACCTGCTGCTGGAGTCCGCCTTCCTTGAGCTCTTCATCCTCCGCCTGGCCTACCGGTGAGCCGCCTACCACCTTCCTGGCCCTGTCCCCACTGGCCCAGCCTGCCCGCACCCTGCCCTGACTGCTGTCTGCCTCCTGCCAGATCTAAGCCCGGTGAGGGGAAGCTCATCTTCTGCTCAGGCCTGGTCCTGCACCGGCTACAGTGTGCCCGTGGCTTTGGTGACTGGATCGACAGCATCTTGGCCTTCTCACGGTCCCTGCATAGCTTGGCTGTCGACGTGCCTGCCTTTGCCTGCCTGTCTGCTCTGGTCCTCATCACTGGTGAGTGGCAGGCACCAGGCTGGGCCAAGGGTTGCGGGGCTGTTGGCTAGGTGGCATGGAGCAGTTCGGGGCCCCTAGAGTGCCTGCAACTTTGGGATGTTAGGACCTGCAAAGGGACCTAGCTCTGTTCACCCCTAAAGCCCAAACCAACCTTCGAGTGACCACAGACTCCTCAGGCTACGGTGCTGGGCATCTGGCTTAGGGTCCTGTCAAACACCCAGCAAGGTGCACCTATGAGTTTTTCACATGCTGCCCTTGGGTAGCCAGCACCAGAACGAAGGACCAGCCTCAGCTCGGTTAGGCTCGCTCCCTGTTGTCTGTGTAAGAGGCAGCGCTCTGCCAGCCACAGTTCCTGTCGTGGTGCTAGCATGCAGAGCGCAGGGGACAGGATTGGGCTGAGTGTACAGGTTTCTTCACTCTGCTTTCGCCCCCACTTCCACTCAGATTTCTTGCCCCACCCCCCATAGAACACAGAAGAGTGGGGACCTGAAGGTCAGTGCGGTCTACACCCGCTCTCCCTGGTGGTACCCCCATGCCACTCCTGTGAGACTCAGGGTTCCTCAGCAGTGTGGAACCTGTATCCTGGAAACCTGTCTGTCATTCACACTGTCTGGGCCCCAGTGTTGCCCCTGAGAACAGTGGTTTCCAATGAGACCAGCCTGGGAAATGGGTCCCTGTGGGACACGCTGGGGGAGGTTGGGAGGCCGGCCGGGGGAGAGGGGTCAACGCGTGCCTAAACTCTGCCCTCCCCGCTGCAGACCGGCACGGGCTGCAGGAGCCTCGGCGGGTGGAGGAGCTGCAGAACCGCATCGCCAGCTGCCTGAAGGAGCACATGGCCACCGTGGCCGGAGAGCCGCAGCCGGCCAGCTGCCTGTCGCGCCTGCTGGGCAAACTGCCCGAGCTTCGGACCCTGTGCACGCAGGGCCTGCAGCGAATCTTCTACCTCAAGCTGGAGGACCTGGTGCCGCCTCCGCCCATTGTGGACAAGATCTTCATGGACACGCTGTCGTTCTAACCCTGCCCTAAGCTCGTGTGCACACCCGTGCGTGCTCTTACGTCACCCATGTGCCTTCAAGCCCACGGGCCCCCAGAGCACCCCACCCCGCCTGGTTTTGAGCCGAGAGCGGCTCCCCTCCTCACTCCAGAAGAGGGCCGCAGGGAGCTCAGGATCCGGGGGCGGGTGTTCGCGGGGGTGACCCCAATATTTGTCTCACTCCTCCAGCGCAGCCCTGGCCTTCGTGGTGGTTTTTTGTAAGATAAACCGTTTTTAACACATACCGCCCTGCTGTAAATAAGCCACTGTAAATACAGACAGGAAGAGGTTGAGGTGGGGGCCGGGAGGAAGGGATGGGTCCCCCACCAGCCTGGGCAAGCCTTCCCAGCCTCCTTCCACATGTACATAACTGTCACTCAAGGTGAATGACAGATTCTGATTTATATTTGTGTATTTTTCCTGGATTTATAGGATGTGACTTTTCTGATTAATATATTTAATATATTGAATAAAAAATAGACATGTAGCTGAAACCGAGTTTGTGTCTCACGTCCCCGCACAGTTGGCCCCGGTGATAGAAGATGGCAGTAGCGCTGACCGTGGCTGCTGACAGTGAACTGTAGGCCAGCAGGGCAGGCGATGGAAGCCCCCCCCCCCCAGGTCATTAACCGAACGCTCGGGCTGGCTTCCCTCTCACACACTGCGGCACAGATGCTGTGTGCTCCACACGTGACCCGTTGGCCTCAAGCTGGTGGTCCTCCCGCTCCGCTTCCGAGGGTTGGGGTTTCAGGCCCTCGCCCGACACCTGCATGTGGATCCGCCCCTTAAAATGGGAAGCCTCTCCAAACTGCTCACCGAAGGGCCCTCGGTGAGGAGACCAGTTCAGGGGAGCAGGACAGACCTGGCCTCAGGCCACAGGTCTGTTTCTTAGGGCTCAGACTTTGGGGTAAATACAGGGCAATTTGTGATTTAGACTTTTATTTAAATTTTTTTTTTTTTAATACTGGTTATGAAAAGGAAGCTCATGGTTTTAGCTGGGCATGGAGTCACATACCTTTAATCCAAGCATTCATTCGGGAGGCAGAGGCAGGTGGATCCCTGTGAGTTCCAGGACAGCCTGGTCTACAAAGAGAGTTCCAGGACAGCTAGGGCTACACAGACCCTGTCTGTCTTTAAAAAAAAAAAAAATGGAGAGATGGCTCAGAGGTTAAGAGCACTGGCTGCTCTTCCAGAGGTCCTGAGTTCAGTTCCCAGCACTCCCACGGTGGCTCCCAACCATCTATAATGAGATCTGGCGCCCTCTGCTGGTCTGCAAGCTCACGTGTGTACATGTGTATGCGTGTGTACATACATGCCGTAGCATGGATGTAGAGGGCAGAAGACCAGTGGGAACTAGCTCTCCCCTTCACAGCCTGAGTCCCGGAGATGACGCTTAGCTCGTCCATCTTGATGGTAAGTACTTGTACCTCCTGAGCTGTCTTCTTTATTTTGGGGTGTGGAGTGGGAGGGGCCTCACACGAGCTCAGCAAGCCCTCTACCACCATCCTGGAGCTTTTAAGAGTGTGGTGAGCCTGGGAACTGCGGTCGCCAATGTTAATGGAGGTTTTGTCTAATCTCCGTTTTCGCTGTCCCTACCCTCGGCCAATCCCAACAGCAGGATCTGCAGCAGCAGTCTCTGGGTTATCCGCAAGAAGATTGTTCTCAAGTCCTTACCTGTGCCCAGGTGTCCTACAAAGGATCTCCAGCTTACCGCTGATTTTGGGGCTTCATGGCCAGGGCCTGGCGTGGCACCTCACTGGCACTGCCTAGTGCATACGAGCTCCAGGCTGGCCCCTCGGCACTTGGGGAGAGATGGAGAAACACGAATCTAAGCCGACAGCATCCCCAGGCCTGTGACACGCTGGCAAGAGGCAGGGCCTGGCCATCCTCACCACCCTTAGCATAGACTCATTTCCAGACTCTCCCAAGAGCCCTGGAGACCGACCCTCCCAGCCATTCCTCACCACCCTTGGTCCAGGACCCAAGGCAACAGGTCCATGACCCCTTGACGCAGGCAAGTGGACCTGAGTGGAAAAAATGGGAGTCTGCTATAAAGTCAGAAAGGACTGAGAGCGTCTCCCAGCTCCACCCAGTAGGAGACTCCCTCAGGGGCTCCACTTACACACCCGTGAGGTCTAGGAGGACATTGCAGTCTCAAGAAAGGCCATGGGTGGGTGGCTTTGGCAGCCCCTGGCAAGCATGGTAGACGCTCCCTCGGGGCTGTGGACTTGCAAGCATACGCCCTGGGACACCAGCTGGTCCCCAGTAGCTTCACCAGTAACCCTGGCACCTGCCTCCACTTCCTTCTGTTGTTCAGGAGCCAGTGCCTCACCCAGACTCAGTTTCCCTATCTGACAGTGCTGGCTGGGAGCAGAATGGTAGTAACTGACGGCTAGACTAGTTCCCTCTCATTTTCCTTGCACACCTTTAGCGCTGGAAAATACAAGAACAGGGTTGTCCCTGAGAAAGGCAAAAGAATTCATCCTTCCACGCTGTGCGTGGGTCAGGCAAGGAAAATCTCAATCCTTACCGGACTCTGAGCTAGCGAACTGACTGCTGCTGGAATTTGGCCTTCCCCCAGCTGGGCCCTTATCACTGCAAGGAAGTGGAGGCAGGTAAGGATGGTTTAGAACTCCTGACCTTGTGCTTCTGTCACCTCACAGGATGTGCCGCCGTTCTGTTGCTCTTGGTTTTGAGACAGTTTCTTAGTGTAGGGAGGTTAACCTTGAACTCACAACAGCTCTCCTGCCTCATCCTCCCGAGTGCTGGGATTGCAGGCCTGTCCCTAGGTAAATGGTAGCCACTGTGTTTTCAAAAGAGGGCATCCTCTTCAGAGGAAGGAAACGGCCTCCCCAGGCTTCGTAAGTGGCCACGCTGGGAGTGTGCAGTTTCTTGACCACCAGGCTGCCCAGCCCGTGCTTTGGGAATAAAAGACTGTCTGCTGACAGCAGTTCCTTTCCAGGACTCTTGCACTTGGGGCGCAGGGCGGGGTTGACCTGCTGCTTCTGCCCCACCCGAAGGCTGGAGCCTGGAGGGAGGCCCTTTCTTTCTACCAGCAACTGGAAGAACTGGCCTCCAAGTCTTGCTTAGGGGCTGAGAGGGCGAACAAGGGGGCATTGAGTCTATTGGGGCCTCACAATGGTGGCTCTGTCCCCCTTGGCCGGGGGCTGGGCCCGTTTCCGATGGGGACAATAGTCAAAAGGCAGTGACGCTGGCAGGGCCTGGAATCCCGGGCGGGATTTTCCAAGTCCTCAAAGCCTGCTGTTTGTCCTCACGGGAGACCCAGGAAACCTGCCTCCCTAGTGGGCCCTGCCCACGCTGGGCCCAGCGCCCAGGCCCTGGACCCCCTCTCCAGCTGTGAGGTGATTGCCTTGGGACAGGGAGCTTCTGAGGTGGGCACAGCAGCATCTTTTCTCCTTAGATCTGGGTGGATGAGGGGGCCTCTCATCAGGTCTAGACTCCCAGTCTCCATCGTGGAGGGAGGTGGTGGAGGTCAGCCTTGAGACGATGAGGAATTCTGAGAATCACTGGCAACTATGCTGTTGCAGAGTTGTGTACGGGGTCCACTCTTACCCGGCATGCTCTGCTCTGTGGAAGTGGCCCCAGTGGTGGAGAGGGAAGCACAGGCAGGCTTGTGAGGTAGGAGACCGCTTTGTGGTCCTGGGCAGTGAGCAGCTGTATGAAGCCAGGCAATGCTGTGTCCTGGACATGGGTGGTTCTGGATGGGCTCACATGAGAGTGGAACCAGGGATTCTAGAGAGTGGCAGCTTCAAGGTCTGAGTGAGCTCATCCAACACGCTGTTGACTTCAGAGAGCCCGGACAGGTGGGCCTCTTCAGAGCGTGAGATCCACAGGCAGGCCTCTTCCTACCTGGATTTCAGTTATGTCCAGGCTTGGCCCTCCACAGCTCAGCTACCAGCTTTTTCCCTTCAGAGGAACCTGTGCTCAGCCCCAGGTGTTTCTAGCCCTGTGCTGGGCACAGGCTCTCAGAATTCTGCCAATGCCCTTCCCTAGCCCCAGGATTGGGGGACTGTCTGAAGAAGGCCTTGATGGCTAGTGGAAATTCAAAATTTTGGAGCCAGTTGAAGGAAAAAGCGTATTTGCTGCCCCTTATGAGGGCAGGAGACCCATTCCAGCCACACCCCCCGCCCCGAGCTGGATTTCAGGCTGGCCCTGCATTCCTGGGCCCCTGCTTTGCGCCCACCTCCGCTAGGCTCTTGCCTGCTCATCTTCCTTGCCACTCTGGCTCCCCTCTTGTCCTGCTGGGCCTGAACCTGGCAGGCTGGGGGCCACCTGAGGTCTCCTCAAGGTCTGACTGAGACACTGGCAATATCTTGCCTCCACTCAGGACCATAAATCAGGCTCCCTGTGGCTGTGGGGGGTTGGGGGTGGCAGCTGAGCCAGTCAGGGGAGGGTGTTGAGGGGGCCTGTCCCGGTTGGTACATGCTGTGTTAGCAGGAAGCGGTGCCCAGTTGCAAGCCAGGCAGGCCTGGTGCTGACTGGCCCTGCCCATCTAGCTTGCGCCCCCACCTGGGAGACCAGCTTTGGGGGGAACCTGGGTGGTTCCCCGCTGTCTCAGGGATCTGGGATACCATAAAGATAGACTGTCCAGGTTTAGCTGAGACCAGGGCCAGAGGAACAGTCCCCAGGGAGAGAAACAGACCCTGACCCTAGTCGCAGTGGCAAACTCCCTCTGCAAGGATGGTCACGTAGACGCCTTCCCCAGGAATGACAGACACACACAAGCTCTCAAAGAAACAAATGCATAGCTTTTTCAGGGAGGCGGGGCAATCCGAGGGACAGACACACTGACACCCCAAGCTGGCCAGACATCCCGGCCTTTACAGCGCATGGACACACAGCAGTTGAAATGCAGGAAGGGCATATCCCCCAAAGTCCTGAGGCCACAGCCTGAAAATGCCAGCAAGCTGGGCAGGGAGGCCAGTTTGTCAGGATCTCTGCTACTTTCTCCACTTTCCCCTCTGCTCAGCCACTTCCTCTGCCATGGGACATCTCAGAAAGAGTGGGAGGTGGAGAATCTCAGGGGACAGATGTCAGAAGGGGACAGCTGGTCTTTGTCCCCCGTGGCCTAGCTAGAGGGTCAGCGGACAGGGTTCTGGCTACCCAGCAAGGCTGGCCACCGTCAGGAGCCCCCAGCCTGACGTCAGTCCCACTCATTGTTGTTGCTGGGGCTTGAGTCACGCCCTGTGACGCCACTAGGGTCAGCTCTGCAGCAGCTGGAGTGGCCTTCGGGGCCAGCTTCAGGGCTCAGCACTCCCCTGGGTACACCCCAGGATGAGGTGGGGCCATCCGAGGCCACATTCATCAGGCAACGCCAGCTGCCTGCTTCCAAGGACTTGGGTTGGTCTTCAAGGTCCCTCCCCAGGCCTTTGCCGAAAGCTTGCTGATAGCGCCCTAGTCAGAGACACTGGATGCTCACTGAGAAGTCCTGGGCTTCTGTCCCTGCCTGTCCTGCCACAGAGCTCCTGCTGCA